TTTTATCAGTAGGGAACACAAGTTCAGATTTGCTACACTTTAATGCTAATAGATTGAGATGGAAGATATTTTTGGTTCAGGCAAAGAATAGGCATGTTCAATGTTGTGTTGATATAAGGAAATTGGTGTACTCATAAGACACTGACGAGTCCAATTTTGACATGTTTAGCTTTGGTATAATTTTACAGTCTATCAGAATCCTTGTGGTAAATATTGCAACCTTTGTCTACTAACCTTTTACAACAGCTATTTCCAATGAAGTGACGCAAAGTTTCTGATACAGGCATTTTTGTTTGTATTCAAGTCAAACTTCTAAATGTTTATGTGTAGTCACTAGGATAGCAGAGTCCTGATTTCTACAGTTAAGGTGCTTAGTTCCTACAGCATTAAAAATAAGGTTATTTAATGTACACATTCTCAAAAGAGAGGCTTCTGAAGATTTTTCAGGGCTCTCTCTTGCTAAAGTTTGTCTCCCTGCTGTCAGGGTCTGTCAATATTCTTGTGTTATGTAGCCACTTTTTTTTCAGAAAGGGTATTCCTATTTAATATTAACTGCATAATGCTGATGTGGCTGCCCTTTTCCTTTCGTCCATTTTACTTAATTTATTCAAAACACCTTTGCAAAAGTTACCCTTGTCTGCTGCACTCAAAATATATTGTCTGATCTCGTTTGAATCACATCATTGGCTCTGCATGTATTTTTTGCTTTCCGTTATCATATTCAAGGCTCAGCTTAATTTTAACCCAGTGAAATCTCAGCTTTAGTTTCTCCCTTACATTTTTCCTTGTTCACACTTGCATTTCAGTCAATTATCTCACCTTTCTGCTTCCACTCTTTTCTTAAAGTCTAAACTCTTATTACTTCCGCAACAGATGGTTCTTTTCTGCTCTTCAAAGTTCTCTGTCTTTCTGTCTCCCTCTGTCTCTCTCTTATCCTTCAGATCCTTCTTTTAACCATTTTTTTCAGATAGTTGTCTTAGTGGTAATCATCTTTCCCATATCCAAACTGCTCTTTGATATATTTTATTATTTTTCTTGTCTCGTTTCGATCTAGATAATGTTGCTTTGACATAGCCCTATGTGAGAATAGACAGTGGGAGTCAGGAACTGTGTACAAGTGTTCTTAGGAGCCTTCCTGTGTGAAAGCAGGAAGGAACTATTGAAAGTTTTCAGGAGCTTGTTATCTGTCCATTTCTGCTTACAAACGACATGTAAATACAAGGTACTGCTATGTGCAGTTTTAGTAATGACTTTGTAGAACCTGGAAAAAAAATTATCCGCGCAAATATATTGCCTATATATAAATTAATATACACATCTCTAGCTAATAAGCTGTATCTGGCTTTTAGAAAGTGCACAATTCTCTCATTTGAAAGCATGGCACCTGGAGAAAGTATTTTAATCGGAAATAGTGCATGAGGTTACAAAGTGCAGTTTTCCATCTCTTCGATATGCATTTTTCAAGGTACCATATAAGCATGATAATAAGTTACAGCTTGCCAGTAAGTTACAGTGCACGTTTCCATCTTTCATAACAGTTCTTCCTTAATGACGGAATAAGATAAAAATCAGAAGGTTTTGGTTCTGAACTAGTGAGAAATTTTAACAATAGAAGACAGTCCAAAAAATGGTGAATGTTTCATATGAGGCAATATAGTCAGAAGGTAGAAATACTCCTGTAAAGTAAGTAGTGAGTAACACATCTCTAAAGTTTATACACTAATAGTATTCTTTCTCTATTACATTTGAGCCTAATTTTTCTTTTTTTCTTCCTTCTATTTGATAGTTACAGTGACTCAGTGGTAACATTTTTGTAGAAGGGCTCAAGTGCAATACAAAAGAGTGGCTTAAAAAGGACATTTCTGTTTTAATATTCTGAACAATAACATTGACTTAGGAAACTCTCCATATTGGTGGAATATATGTTATACATAGGTTAGTGAGGTATTAAAGGTATAAAGTACCAGTTTGGCTTCTGTAGTGGACTTTGCGTCTTCTTTACTTAGAAGGTATGTTCTTAGCCAGAACAGTGGCTTTACAGTGAGAGGAGAATATTATGACTGTTTTCTCAGAAAATATTGGACAGTCTATACTGTGAAAGTAATAGTCTGAATCATGCATTTTCAGACTTCATGTTTAGATATCAAATCTCTATTTTCTTTTCACAAAAGGTATTTAAAAACCTACTTCTACATGTTTGTTCTTCTTTGTGAAAGATTTACATTGTAAATTATAGTTAAATGAGATCTGATTCTTATAATCACGAATGTTTAGAACAATATAGGTTTATTAAGTTTTGCTTGTATTTTCATTCTATCTGTCTTTTTAGATTAAAGGAAACTCCTTTAGCAGTTTACTTTTTTTTTTTTTTTTTTTTTTTTTTTTACCCTTTTAGTACTTGCTTTCTCACTTAGGGTTCGTTTTCACTAAACATCCGTGACTCTAATCAAAAAAAGACTTAGCTGCAAGTGTTTAACATGACTGAAAGTTAGGAGCTCAAAGTGCATTTTGTAAAACTAGTAGAAATCTAAAAATAGAGACAGTAGAGTACCTGCTTCTTTTTGATACAGTTCTATTAATGGGTTTAGGCTTAAGACAGTTCATGATATGGACAGAGGTTAACTGTTATATGCAAGCTCATTACTTATATCTTGAAGATCAGTTTCTTTCCACTAACACAACTTACGTCCTGGTAACATGACAGGATGACTCCTTTAGGTAGGAGGCCAAATATTAGTTTAGCTCAGACTTCCCTTGCAGAGACTTAATTAAGCAGAAAATGGGACAAGTCTTGTTGCTTAGATAGAGCTCAGGAATAGATCCCAGAGGGGCTAAGAGAGGTATCTCAGATGGCAGCAAATGGAATTACTCTGACAGCCTCATTGGGTTTATAGAGTGCTGTGACAATGCATGACCCTTTTCTAGCCAAGGTAGTAGAATGATTGTTATCTGGCACAGGCTATAACTCATCTTGGCAGCAGCTGAAAAGAACAAGATGAAACACACGTTCAGGACCAAATTTTGTTAAGAAGGCCAGAACTGCACCTGGATATCTGTTAGCATTCATAATAACCATTATCTGCTGCATAATGCTTTTATTACGATTTATTTATGGGATTATAGTATGTTTAGTAAATGGTATTGACTATTCAAAGCAGCAATGGAGCTTCAGTTAGTGTTCCTCGTAATCGTTTAGCAAGTAAGGGAGACTTAACTTGAATATGAATGTTTCAATTATGGAGTGGATTTTAAATGCTTATAGTTGATAAACATACATTTTTTTAACCTTACCTGTGCAAAAAATAGACTGAAATTCAGAAGTGTATTTCACTGAAACAGACTAAAAATTAATATTTGTAAAAAGTTTTGAGATGCCTAATTTTGGTGAACATGTATATGTAACTAAGTCTTTAATAGATTGAAATGATACAATATATTGCAGTAATAAAAACTGTGTAAAAACCCAGAATCAGAAATCTTTTTTCTCTTCATAGCTATGAATTGAAGGAAGACCACAGAACTCAGTAAAGTTTTAGCATGAAAATTAGTATGAATAAAGCTTTTTTGACAGCATTATACTAGAGTTTCCAAGCATTTCTACTTCAATATCTGTATTTTAGAACACTTATGTCAGTAGAAGGAAGAGTTGATAGAGAATATATTTTTAATGAAGTGAATGTTCTCCACTTCTGGATGGCCTTTGTACTGCTTTCTGAAAGGTTTCATTATTATTGCTCACAGTTGTTGGTGGTTCTGATTGTGAAGATAAATGTCAGAAATCCAAAGGGTAGTAGGATAATGTGGAGATTAGTATAAGAAAGGAATCAGTTAGATATTATGATGAATTATTTGTGAAGACAGACTATGAGGTAGACTTGACAAATTAAATTGGTTGTCCTTCTTATGTTAAAATTCACTCTTGCTGAACTCATACATGCTATTTAGGTCATTGTTAAAGACCTCAGTTATTCATAGTTGCAGATGGAAATAAAGTGAGTCAGTGCACAGCCGAAAAACCACCAGCACTGAATCTGCCATTTCTGTTAAGGTAAAGATATCACACACACTGATTTGAAGTAGTAAGTTAAACTTCCATTGGAGTCAGTAACAGTATTCCTGAGAAAGAACTAATGCCATATAACATCCATGATATGCTGATGGCTTATCATTATTCTGACATGATTTTTTTTTTATTCCATGCAGGCGTTATAGTGTGTATAATAATATGCAGAAGTGAAGTAGAAACTAAAGATATGTGTATAGACTACATGTAGTGTGGATGAATAACTTTGTTTTTTAATAGAATCATTTGATGGCTTTCCATAAATGTTTTTGCAGCTAAAAAGATTTGATTAGCATTAAAAGAAAAATACTAAGAGTTGAGAATCTGTTAGGGGAATTCAGGAATTGCTGTAGTAAATGGCTCCCAAAGGTCTGTGTTAGGCCTTGGTCAAGACTATGTGTTTCCAAAGAGGAGGAAAAGGGAATTACAGGATAACCTAACTTGCAAGAAGGCTTTTTCTTTATCCTCAGGGGTTATTGGTTGCTTTGAGTAAGAAGGGTCTAATCTCTTTGGTTTAGTTTTCCCGAAGCCAATAGGCTATTCAAAGCCTATTGTAGTAATGAACGTTGGTAAACAGACATGTATTCATAAAGCACTGATCATAGAGCACCTGTGGCATAACACCTTGTCATTTTTGGTGACTGCGTTTAATTTGGGCTGATCATTTGGAGCCAAAAGATTTTGTAATATGTTATATTTCTATTAATTGTCATCTTCGTAATAGAAGAGAAAGTGGCAGGGGAATAGGCCTCAAACGTAATTTTCTCAGAAATAGTTGAGGTTTCTTGTGAAATTACTGTTCCAAGCTTCAAATAAAATTAAGAAGCCACACCAAGTGTACAGTGAATAAAACATAGACCTAGTACTTAGTTTAAAAACAAGTCAGAAACATTAAAAATGTTTGCATATAATCTTTCCTTTCTACTTACCCCTCTAGGAGGAGCGCGTTGTGAACCATTTGGCAGCAAAAATCATCGAAAATGTTTGCACTACTCTCTCTTGCCATGCACAAGGATTTGTTACAGCAGAAATTGGACCTGTGTTGTGGTACCTTTTCACACATTCTACAGTAGATTCCCTGAAGATAACTGCTGTTTCGGTAAGAAATTTTGCTTCATGATATTGACATGTTTTGGGTATTGTTTTAAAAGTTTTAAATACTTTGTATGGAAATTGAAATTTTTTGGAGCATGTTTGTGTATTCATAATTATATTTCATATTACATTAAGATATATTTACATATTTTTTGGAACTGAAAATTGAACATTTTATATTCCAGAATTTGTTGTATGAGATGTTTTTCTTAATATTAATTCCCCAACAATAGAATAGTAGTACCTGTTCAAAGATGTCCAAAAGGTGGTTCTGGGCGGATGTGCCGAAGTTAATTGGCTTGCAGCATTTTGCTATCATATTGATATACTTGTCTGTGGCAATATCTTGTAAATAGTACTCTGTGGCCTTGTTCATATTCAGCTGCCTTCACTGAGAAGATCTATGCTTGTAGCCTAGTATTTCTTCCCATATTGAAAACAAACATAGGACGAAGTCCTTGCAAATTCATTACTGCTTTGAACGTACAGTTTCTTATGCTGCTGCTCTTAAGCTGCTGACCATGAGTGTTTGAAAAGTTTAATCTTTCAAGGAATCAAATAAATTCTTCCAAAATTGAAATTTCTCTTTTGAAATGTTGTGTCTTACTTAAGGAGTAATTATTGTTTTTATCACAGACAGCCTTAGAAGATGCATCTGAAATAATCGTGTTCCTTCCTATACAGTTGTCAGGTCTAGTCCCTGCCCTGAAGAGCTTATAATAAGACAAACAAAGGTCTATGAGATGTGAGCACTAGGTTTGGAACAAAGAATAATTGTTTGTGAGGTAGATGGTCTTTGGCAGGACTGTGAATTTAATCCACTAAAACAGGTAATCATTTAGAACTGAACAATAAGTTGACAATAAATGAAGGGATAACTGGATGCTAATTTTCTGAGTAGTGTTCAGGCTCACTAATGAGTTTGCTATTAGCTTTCCAGATGGAAAATGGTAGTGTTGCTGCTGCAGCAGTATGCACTTAGAAACATCTAGCATTGAGGTAGTAACAGATACAAAAGATATAAAAATATATGGCAGAGTGGCTGAAGAAATAAGTAGCAGAGGAAATATATAATTAAAAAATATATATTTATTAAAGGTGTATCTCAATGTGTATTTGTGGGAAACTGTTGCCTGGGAAACAAACTGCTCAAATACTGAGAACGTGTGTTGACCTTTTAGAACAGTAAATTTAGTTAGTAAAATATATTGACTATTACAGAAGCATTTGTGGCATCTGAAATCTTTGTAAAAACTTCATCTTAGTACCTCTATAGGTAGAGGGTTCTTAGTCACTAAATGTGTGGGATATATGTGTAACCTTCAGAACATTTATAACTTAAATCTGCTTTTGAGTCCGGCTGGTAGGCTGTTTTTTCTCAAAGGCTCTTCTTTGAGACCTTATCCATTTGAGCTGTCAGTTGTATACGTCATGACTGTTTATGTGACCAAAGACTAGAGATTAGAGTCATAATTTTTTTTTACGTATTGAGTATTTAAACAAGCCTGCTCAATCATCTCTCATACTACTACTTTTGCCATATGGAATATTTTTTACCTAGTGCGTTCAGGTCTTGTCAGCGATTTAACTGGGTAGCAGTTATCTTTGCTATTAGATCACAGCTTTTTTTTTATTTCTTTCTGTTTGTCCTGAAGTTCTCCTCCTGTTTGTCCACTGTTCACTTGCAGAATGTTTCGTCATTGACCCTTCCCTTGACTCTTACACTAGAATTTCAGACCTGCTCCTCTTTTAGAGGCCAGTTGGACAGTTATGCCTGTTGAGTGTGCCACAGTGAACAGCATATCCCGGGAAAAGCATTTCTTTGAATTGCATTCAGACATTGAACAAAGATAATTAGAGGAAATATCAGTGTGTGTGTTTTCCCCACCCCCTTTTGAAAAATCACTTTCGTCTTGGAAAATACAGTATGCTTGAGGTAAGCAAGAGCCACTTTCTGCCTAGTAAGATGTAGAAGCTATACTTTTGATTCTCAGAAGACTCTTGTCCTCAGTGCAGACTCATTACACCTTTTTGCAGCAGCGGGCTCAGAGATGAGAGCCCTACAACTGAGGGGACTACTAATACAATTAGGGGAGTTGCCTTGTTTTACTTACTTTTTGACAAGAAGAAAGTCTTCATGCACCTCATCTGGAAGGCAGGAGTAGTGTCTAAGAGGAGGACAAAAGTGGACCTAATTGTGGCCTAATTGACCATTTTTTTTATTTTTTAACTATTTTTTTGATCTTTTGTCAGCTACCAAAGCTTACTTATTAGTTGGTCGCTTCCAAATGAGGAGGCTAAAAGCATCATAGATTTTTGGGTTACTCAGTTCTTTCTGTCGTGAAATTGCAATTGTGATAGAGAGCTGATTTGGATGAGCTTATTACTCAATGTTAAATGCAATGATATGGGTAGTAAGAAAGCATATTTATGTTATGTATTTCAAAATTGAATCATCTGGCACTCGTGGGTTAATATACTTACAAGCCTTGCAATGATATTGCCATTTTTGCTCAGCTTTTATCCTTTGTTTTGTTTTGTTTTTTTCTTTTTAGTGCAAATTCAAAGACACTGACAAAGCTTATCAGTTCTCAGGGACCACCCTACAAACCCTCTTACTTATGGCATATATTAGGATAAAGCTGTAGTCTTTTTTTAGAGGTTGTGATAGCTGCAGTTACCAGGATTCCCTAAGGAGACTTAACTGATTGCTGGGATGCCCTTTCAATGGGGGGAATTTTTAAAGAAAAAGCATCTTTCTCATTTTGATTATCATTCTCTTAATATTTGTCAAACCCAGGTTCCTGAGCAGCGCAGGTGTTAGTGTCCAGGCCAGCTTTTTGAAGAGACTGTCAGGTTGTGTGTGCACAGTGAGCTCTGAGGCAAACACTTCCTTAACATCTAGTGCAAATATGTGCAAATCCACAGTTTGTGTGTGCAAATGGACAATATGAGTGAAAAACAGCTGTTCCTAGCTATCATCATTTTTCCGCGAAGGCAGGGATCTTACCTTTGCCTCAGGTAGTTGCTGAGGTTAGAGTCATGCCAGAAATAGGGCTTCCTCCAGACTAATATACTGGAGGGCTTTGGGTGAAAGCAGCAGCAAGAGGGGCCCACAGAGCCAGAAATACTCACTCCTCTACATCCGTGGTCCAACTGCCCTGTTTCTTCTTTTTCTGATCTTGATGGAAATTATTGCTATCCATTAAGCTGCGTCTGGCTCCTCCATTCGAACAGAACATTTCATACACGTGTGCTTGTTTCTGAAGGTGTTCCTGGATGTTTCCCTCCACTTTTCTGGGAATTGTGCCATTTATCAAAAGTCTGAGATATAATTCTATTATGTTACGTATGACATGAACTGACCCCAGTAAATTTCTGAAGTAAGATATACTAAGGTAGTCCTATAATCCTTTTGCTGCTTTGTGACAAGACAGTAAAGAAACAAGAGGGTGAATTTATTAGATTTATTAGTCAAGGTAGTCAAGGCCTAGTATAGATCATCTGTATGTATTCATACTTCTGAGGTGTTTGGGAATCCATTCTTAACACTTGTTAAGTAAACACTTGTTCAGATAATTAATATTAAAATCTAGCACTAGCAGATCTTTTACTGACTGAAACTTATAGGCGTTTCAGCAAGTCATGAAGAAACTTATAGTATAGGGCACATTTGAGTACTGTACTGTGGAGATGAGTAGTTGGGGATATGATTTTTGTTTCTTATAACTAATGAAATGGGAAACAACAGAACATTTATAGAAGATTGCTTAGAAGCCTTTTAACATACTGATGTCTTTTTCAGGTTATTGTACTGTACACTTTCAAGTAATTCCAATTTTTTACATATATATATGGTCATTTTTGTTTTGCATAACCATGTCAATGGAGATCATCAGTGTGCTATTATGTTTTATTGTGCATTCATTTTTGCCTTGTTTAAATATATCCTGAAGAATTTTTCTTGACGGACATCTATATTCACATGCAAAAATACATTTCTGTTAAGAAATACATGTGTTGTATCTTTACGTGGAGCTAGCAGGCTGTCTGCAAACTATGCTAGCAGTAGGGCACTGTGGAATTGTATTCATTATTATTTTTATCAGTCGTAAAAATATATCAAGAATCCTCTCTGCCTTCAGTCTCTAGAGTTAAGAAATGACACTTTATGTTGTCCTGCCTGCCAGAGGTGGCAAACAGGGACTGTGCCTCAATATTTTTACTCACTTTGGAGTCCAGCCTGCCTGGGGTAAATATCACGGATTTTGCCTGTAGAAAAGCTGTATCTTTTATCATTTTGCTAGACTCAGAGAAGAAATAATTCTATAAGATGTCAGTCAGTGACATTCTGACAGGCTCAGCAGTAGGAAGAATATTTTCTTTCCATTATGCTGAAAATTACATGCTCATTTTGAAATAACTTTTAATATTTTTTAAGAAATGGCTTATTCTGCTGGAAGAGGAGTAACTACTTAAGTATAAGTCACTTAAACAGAAACCAAACTGGGAAAGCTCAACTCAATCATTGTTTTGTGTGGGGTGTGTGTTTTTTTATTTTTTTTATTTTTTCCCTGATTGATACTGAATAATTTCTTTCAAGAGGCTTGGGTATATCAGATGCATTAAAGCATTTGTTCTCCAGCTTGAGAGATATGGAGTGTATCCTGAAGGGATGAATCCTATCCAGCCACCATATGACCAGTGAGTGATGGGTAGGGCATATATGGTGTTGAAGTTGGAGCTACAGGGAGAAAAGGTGCCAGTAAAGGCTGTGCAGGGAGCAAGGATAGAGGAAGTTTGTTCTAGAGTAGGCTCTGCCAGTGCCTTTCTCTCACTGTGATCGTTTTCTATCCTAACACCGTTGCAGAGAGAAGGTGGTGTGAGGTGTTCTCTGCTCTTACTGCTTCTCGTCGTTGTTTCACAATTCCTGCTCCACCCACCTTTTGACTTATCTTCATCTGTTCTCTCCAGATGCATATGTACTGCAGTGATTTAGGAGACTGTTTTCTATCCCCCGTTAAGTCCTATTCTCTGTTCTGCTGAAGTGTTAGCTTCACTCATACAACATTGCACTCTGTGACATGCAAGCTAACGGGAGTTTAAAGCTTCTCTCCCTGGCTATGGTGGGCTGGAGCTTTCCTGCTGTCTCTGAAGCTGCAATACGATCCCAGGAGACAGCTGTGTCTCCCCTGCGAGATTTACCTGGAAGTCATCTGAAGGCCTGTGACTCTGGCGACCTGTATTTGTCTAGTTCTGCAGCAGAGAGCTAAGGCATTGGCAGCATACACCACACTAGCACGCATTAGCGCACCAAGTTAGTGGATGTAGTCTTCATACAGTCCATCCCTAGGTTCCAGCAATTTATTAATAATATGACCCTCAAGGATATGTTTAATGAGCTCACATACCTCCTGCCCACTCATCTGAGAGCTCAGACTAGATGTAGTAGGCTAGATTGTATCCTTGGGAAAATAGAGCATGCTGTAGGAAGAGACTGAGACTGTGCTTGTATTTTGAAAAACAGAGGTGGGAAAGGCAGCAACTGATACGTTTCCTGGACTAGAAAGGGCAAAAAAGAGGATTTACTGAGTAGATGAATCACCTTAATAAAATGTCTGTCTTGTTTTATTGTCTAAAAAACATATGTTCATTTTAAGCGTGCTGGTCCTTTTTTTCTTCCCCCCCCCTTTTTTTTTTTTGTTAAGGCCAATAAATGATATTTGAGGGAGATGGAGTTGTTTCTTTGCTTTGGTTATATATATTTGTGAGAGGAGAGTGAGTAGTTCTTGTGTTATGTCCTTGTGCTTAGGAAGACCTAGTGCTGTAGTTGCATCTGAGATGTTAAAGAGACTTTTTTTTTTTTTGGAAATTTACTTTTATTATTAAAAGATTGGGTTGTCATTGAATCCGCTTTCTTTTCTTGATTAAGATTTTAGAAATATAAAGGCGAAATCATTCTTATTTCTGAAGCTCAGCTTTGAGTTTCTGAACATGTTAGGTTTTGAAATTATCAAAGCTTAAGGTGTTTTTCAGTTGCTCAAAAGTCTGGTAAAGTTGTTATTGCAGTGTTAAGAATGCATATTCCACTACAAAATCTCAAGTCTATCAATCTTTTTCAAAAAGGAAGAAAAATCTACAAAATGGAGCATGCTGTGGATGATTGCTTAGACAAATACTTTCTGGCCAAAAAAAATCTCTCAGTAAATGTTCTCCAGTATGAGGATTTAATAGCAATGAAGAATTTTATAGCATAGAATGAGGATTTTGTAACAGTAGAAAGTCACATTTTGCTCTAATTGCTGATCCAAGAGTCTTAACTCTAGTGATATCAACTAAATCTCTGTATTGTATTCACTTTTGGGAGAACTCCAAATTTGTTTGGGTTTTCTGCATGTGTCATGATCCTCTAAAATCCTCTTGGTTTTACTGAAAAATTATCTTTCTCTGATTTGTTCTTACTTGTTTGTGGTGGACTTTTGTAGAGGGAGATTCCCTTAAAAAATCATCTTCTGCTAAGATTTTACAGCAAATAGATTTACTTAAGTGCTCTGGAAATGTAATAAAATATTAATAATCTTTTAAGACTAGTCTAATGCAAGCTTTTTGCAAATCAAACAAACATGTTGCACACCACTGGATCATGCATAACTAATGCATTATGTACTTGAGTTTTTTAAATCACATCTCTATATAGATTTAGGTTACTTCCTTTTATTAATTTCTAATCTTAAAATCCAGAGTTACTTTTTAGCAATCTCGTGGTCGCAGTTCAATTGTGAAAGTGCAGGGCAGAAGAAGAGCTGTGGGTATTGTTTCGGAAGAGAAGGCACCGACTTTGTAATAGTCTAAAGATTTGAATCAAGGAGATTTCAGTATTGATATTGTGAATATCCTGCTGCTCCAGTTGATAATATGAAGAATCTTCAGGCAGAAAGAAAACAGAAGGACTTCTGAACTGTGTTTTACCTCTCAAAATGTTGCTTGTCCCTTGCTATATCTGTCAGTCAATTTCACGTAGCGTCTGTATTAAATGCTACAGTGCTATACACAAGACTATAAAAGACTTATATAGTCTTACACTGGGCAATGTCTAAGGTTCTTACATGGAAGACTTTTTCTCCCTGATAATTGTGTTCTGTGGGCTTTGCTGGTTCACATAGTTTCTCTTAAAAGAGAGCACTGAGTAAGCAGCAACTTGTAAAGATAGGTGGTCTGGAGAAAACAAAGAAGTGATAATATTTTCCACTTTTCACAGAAAAAAGTCATCTTGAAATTTTCTCCCTAAAATCAATTCAGATTTTTATGTGAATCAAATAATATAATTTGTTTTCCTATCCTAACGCTTCATTCAAGGAACAGAAAATGAAACTTCGCATTTTAAATGCCTTTTTTCTTTATCTGGCGAGAATAAAGCCATTTACAGTATCTTTAAGGTTATAAGTTGCATTTGCTGAAGGAAGGGTGTGTTGACTTGGGGACTAATCCACCCTGGAGGTCGTTTGAGTAATGTTTGTTACGAAATAGCTAAGTTAGTGTACACTGCACAGATTTGTACTCACTCCGCTAGAGCACAATTGATATCTCAGTCTTCTGTTAGAATTATTTTAATCACTGAAATTGTAAACTGGCCACTTTGAGAATAAGATATGATTACTGTACTAAACTGTTTATTAACAGGAATCTAGATCTAAAGCAGTTTAACTGAGGCAAGTAGAACCTATATTTGGATGGACTTTAAATAAACTGCTACATACCACATTGTGGTTGGAAAGACGCAAGGAGCAAAGAGACAGAAGAAAGTTGCTTTCCTTTATGGTGACCTGAATTTCTGTGGAGTGTCATCTCCATATTTCCAGCTCTGTGCTCCTTTCTATTACTGTGTTATCTGATACTACTTACATTCTGTTCTGATGAAAGACCCAAGCACAGACTGTGCCTCTCCGTCGTTGTTATCCTCTAGAGTGATGTAACACTGCTTGATGTTGATGGACCAAAGATTTCAGTTTCGGTTGCATGGGGTGCATAGCAGTGCATCTCAAATTCTAGGTCTCTAATGAGAGGTAGCCTTTTCCCCTAATATTTATCTTATGACCGAAACCTTATGAATTCTCTGTTTTCCTAATTTATTGGAAAAGTTGTCACCGTGTGTTTTTGTTCTCTGTTATTTTTATTGATTAAAAATGCTGTTACTTATTGGGACTTTTGTTTCACTTTTGTAGGCTTTATGCAGAATTACTCGTTACTCACCCAGTGCTTTCCAGAGTGTCATTGAAAAAGTGGGATTAACAGCTGTACTAAACTCCCTGGCAACTGGAATATGCAGAATTCAGCAGTACATGCTCACCATGTTTTCTGCTATGTTGTCCTGTGGGATTCATCTTCAGAGACTGATTCAAGAAAAGGTTTGATTTGAAATTGATATTATTTACTGGCCCAAAATTCATTAATGGAAAGTTAAAAGTTGCCTCTGGTAGTGTTTTTTTTTGTTTTCAAAATGTTTAACTCGGTGGCACTCAAGTCTGAGAATGGCAGGAAATGAGGAAGAGATGTTTCTATTTTCTGAAAACTAGGAAATGCAGATTGAACATCTTAAGAGAGAAAAACATTTTGGAGGCCCAATAATATTCCCCAGAAATTGCTACTTAGGGAAAATTATCACTTCTTTATGTAACACTATTTATGTGTTTGTTTATATTTTAAACAAGCAAAAATATAAAATAATGAAGCGTATAGTTTTCCTTTCTCCCTCCTAGATCTTCAAGAGCTGGTACTAATGGGTATATAAATTGCTACTGCAACTAGAATCCAATCAATTCAGAAAACTCTAGACTGACCATAACCGATAATGGCCCCAAGGAAAAACAATGAGAAATTCATGAGGACAACTACTTTGACGTAGTGCTCTTAAACATTTGAAAGGGAAAATAATGAGTGTCCTGATTGAATCTAAAGCTATACTTGGATTATAGTCGTCTTAAAAGACCTTAGGCCAATTTGTAAGTGAAATATCTTGCAGAAATCACCATTTTATTAAGTTAGATAGGTTTTCTTTTTAATGTCACTGCCTAAAACTACAAGTTATGAGAAATATCTAGTACAGTTTTTGGAAGAGATGTTTAAAAGTTTTCTATCTTGATCACCAAATTAAATTCTTGCACATTCTATGTTTAGAAAAATAGTGTTTATTCTTTAGCAGTAAGTTTGTACAATTCACAAACAAAAGTAATCCATCTCTACTTGTATAGAATAAAAATCACTAAGAAAATAGGAACTCCAGCTTATGTTTTCATGAGATCTTCTGTTGTAATGTATGCAATAAACTGGTACTCATCTTGACTATAAAAAAATGCATTAGGCTTTACTAGAGAACAATTAGTTTAGTTTCTGTGTATGTAATTTAAAAAACATTTAAATTAAAAAATAATCTGCTCTCTTCCACCAATCACTTCTTGCAGCCTAAGATCACTCATTCTCTTCCTGAAAGTCATTTCTGTGCTCTGTCAGAATTGCCAACTCATTCTTTCTAAGTGTGTGTTACCTGGCCTTAAACTTTCCACAGATTCCACTACAACAATACTACCAGGTGGCAAATTGTCCCGTAATGTCACATTTTCTAATACTGCACCTTATTGTGAGTTAGTGATATATTCAGAGAAGTATATTTAAAAAATATTCACTTGAGTATTCAGAGAAAGAATACAATGTGTAATAAGAATGGCTACATCACAATGTTTGCTGTGAAAAATTCCTTGTTTGTATAAGACATTGGAGGACCTAAGAGGACCCCCTTTCTGATACTGCAGTTTTTATGAACTATTTTTTATCACAGTTTTGAGTTATGTTAAAAATAATCAACTCAGAAACCCTTCAATCTGCTTATACAAAATATAAAGTATTATCTTGGAATGGAGTACAACAATGGCTGAAACTTCCTGGGTTTAAAATTGCTGCTTAATCCTTAATGAAATGTCATAGGTGTGTTGTGAGCTGATATTCCAGTTTTGCAGATTAGAAGATTGAGGTATAGACAAATACAAACGTTCTTTCAGGAGCATATATCAAACTAGTGACAGAGGTAAGAATAGTACCCGAAGCTATAACTAAAAAAAATTTGTGCTTTAATAACTGGATTCTGAAATGTTGGTAAAAAGATCTAGCTCTACAGCTTGTGACCACATTTGGCAGCTGTATCTGCCTTCAAGCTATGATAAATCCATATCTAATAGAACAGCTATGTTAGTGCCTCCAAATTGGTTTCTGCTTCCAAAATCCTACAATCTAGATTTCCATTTTTTTGAATAGGACCTAAAAATATAAGGACTGCCAGGTACTGTCACAGTACAAGTAGTAATATTATTTTACTGCTAGAAGTTGAAATTAATAATCCATGCACTTTTCAGTGTTCTGTGAGCATATCACACAAGTCTGTCTTAATGAAAGAAAGGAAAATGAATTTGTGGTGCAGGTTTCCAAAGTGTTCTTCCTCTTGTAGAATTATTGTATACTACAGATCAAGAGTTAGAAGAACCTGAGTGTTATTCAGGAGTTACGTAATGACAAGGTTGTGACTATCCTCTTAATACCACTGCAAACCAATATATTAAAAGATGCCTAAAGATATAAATTCTTCATGGAAGGCGTTTAGCTCTGTATACATTTTTGGAAGCTCCCTTGGCTCAAAAGACTTAAGTCTGGTCTTGTTTTCTACTCCCCTCAAGAACAGAAATAAAACCAGTTACAAAGTAAAATGCAGAAGAAGAAAAAGGAGAAATGCAATTTTGTGGTCATCTTCATTTGTATAGAATTGTAGAGAATTACAGTAGCTAAAAAGGACTATTTTCCCACCCCTCTAATGCAATGCCTTTCTATTTCTTGCCTTGGAAACAAAAAAGCTGAAATGATATGCTTAAAATAAAAAAAATTAGGGGAAAAAAAAAAACCCGAGTCAGACACCTTTGACACCCTATAGCAGTAGTCAATAACATTGTTAACTACTTTTATCTGTCTGGAAAGGCTCATCTGTGAATGAATAAAACCCCCTACTATAACTTTTTGAAAGTGGTTAGGTTCTTCTAGAGGTCAGACAATTTTTTTTATTGTTCCAATCAATAATAAGTAAAACTTTTTTTTCCAGTTAAAATTTGAATAGAGTGCTTTTAGCTTTCTCTTACTGTGATCTGCAATATTTTTCCCTCTTACACTGTAAGGGTTGATTGTGATTTTTTTTTTTTTCCTCTGCTATTTTTTCATTAGGTGGAAACTGTAATTTGTTTTGATATAACATTTTCATAATTTTTCACTGACTGCAACAACTCTGACTACTTCTGCTAGAAAGTCACCAGCCTGCCTATTGGATCCACCCCTAGGGCCAGCATATTTTTGGGGTTACTTGGGTCAAATGACAGGAGTTGACTACCATCTCTGTTTTAATAGTCATACTTGAGTGTGGATGCTGATTGGTACTGGTTTCTCCTCCTGTAAGTCGTATCCTCCTATGATGCAGCAATGTGACTCCTGAAGATCAGGGTGCCTCTTCTCCAGACTCCTAACTGCAGGACAGTAGCAGTAGTCCTGCAGTTAGGGACATGAAATAGGGAAAGCTAACAGACATAGGCTTTGGAAAAGGATTTCCAACTCAGAATTATTTTTATTGCTATTCTCTGTTTTTTTTTTCTATTGTTCTCTTTTTTTGATTATGTCACCAGGAAGAATCTGAGACCTCTGTACTTATTTTCATACCAAAAACCCGTGGCCGTAGTTATAGCAATAGGTTGCCACAATTGCATTGTTTCTTTACTTCAATGGACTATTAGTCATAGTCTCTTTTTATTTCTGTTATGTCCAATTATGGCACTGGAAAAAAAAAAAAGCATTTACAATGTTACTCTCATATTTCGGTTACCTTTTCTGATTTTTTGTCTTTTACCTGAAAATGGGCAAGTAGCAACGTCTGATGTTGACACTTTTGTCAATATCAGTATGAATTAATAAGAGGTATAAATGTCTTTAGTAAAAACTTTATAACTCTTAAGATAATACTATGGAGGTACTTGCAATGCATTAAAAAAAATCTGAAAATGTACAACAATACAAAAATAATTACCATGGTAGTTTTAGTTTCCTGTGTAGTGAAATAATGGTCTACTTATTTTCCCCTTCTGTAAACAACTCAAAAATGTCCTTTCTTTTTGTCATATGTTTTAACTTTGCTTTGCAATATTACTGACAATCTTGAGTATAAAATCATGATCTTGTTACAGGAGACAGCGTGTTCACTTGTAATGAAAAGAGTGTCCTTAACCTGCAGAATCTCCATGGATACATCAAACAGTTGCAGGGCAGGGAAGAACAGTATAACAGTGAAACAATTAATAATTAATTGAGAGTATTTCAGCAATTTTGGCTTTTCTGATATATTGAGTTCTGCAGATCAGCAGAGACGTGCTACAGGCTTTCTTTGTATAAACTGTTGCTGTTCTGCAGTCCCTAAACAGACAGAAAAGTCACATTTATTTCTTAAGCCAGATTATTAAAAGACTCTCAGATAAGTCTGATGTAGCTAATTTTAATTGACTATGTTGTCTTAACCCATGGTAACCCCCACCAATAATATTATAATGTTCTTGTTTTGCAGAGCACAAGCACTAAAAATAGATGTAATCAGCTGTGTTTTGGCTTGGAGTTGCATTTGTACGTGTCATGTTGTCACTGTGCTTGTCTATCAGCATTAGCAGGCAGGGTTTTGCATTATATATGTACTTACTGTAAGTGTGAGGCTTTACAGTTTCTTATCTTAAGTTTTTTTGGCTGTTCTGGGTTATTTCATACAAAAATAAACAATTTGTTAAAATTTCGGCCTTTGCTTTTAGTAGATTATATTTCAGAAATTTCCCCCTGCACATTCTCGCTAGAGGAGCCAAAAGTCATGCTCCATGATCTTTTGACATGTTTAAAGCAGTGAACTTTAAATTGTCTGTGCTAATCAGCCACAAGATTAAGAACACTTTTGTTTATAAAGTAAATTACAAAAATACAGCAAAACAGTTATATAATCACCTATTCTTCTAGGATTTCTGTAGTTGTTGTCTGTGCTGACTTCTTTTGCAGACAGCATTAAAATGGAATCTAAGTAAAATCTGATGGCTTGTGCAACTTTTATGCTCCTTCTCTTCTCTCTTTTCTGGTCTCTAATGAGGCATAGTTAATTGTTGCAAAAACTGTCTCTGATAAATTTTATTCAATGTTGATTTTCAGTTTTAAGAGTTTTAGGCAGAAAGTTGCCTTCTTTCTGTTATTCTGTCAGCAAAAGAGGATTTGAGTAGTAGTATGTAAAATGTGCATTATACTGCATGATTTAGAACTTTGTATGTAACTTGCAGGCGCACACTAGGTGGCTGCTTAGTTCTGTAGTATCACACACTCTACATCCAAGTGAAATGCAGACGCTGTTCAAATGCAGTTTCTGTTGATGAGGCCATTTGTGCTCAGTCTACTTCCTGGACAGAGGTAGTTGAAGTGACTCATTTTTTAATTCTGAATCTTTTAGAGTGGAAGAGAGTAGGTGTAGGGTTTGTGGCATTCTTGATCAGAGGTTGATCCACAAGTATTGCTGCGTCCAACAGAGACATCTTTGGAAATTGATCTATTTACCATATAGCCCAAATGGTCTCCTTGCAAGAACAGCAAGGATCAGGAGCAGATGTTTTTATTCCTCAGGGTTAGAGAATCCTACAAATGGTTCTTGCTTTTTCTCTATTTCTTCAGGACATACTGTGTTGTTGGATAGGGCATAAATGATGATCATCATTTTTCTTTACAACTAAGAATACCTAACTGTGTTGATAATACAGCAGCTCATCATCTTCCTTCCTGCCACTGATTCTCAGCTCTGTTCCCTTGGAAGTTCAGGCAGTACACGTGAATCTCAGATCTTTTCACCTGTCCGTCCACATTCTGGAAATTAAGAAGAAAAATATTTCCAATATACAGGGCAAAACAGAGAAGAAAGCTGGAATTTCAGAAGCCAGTCAGCTAATCATTATTAAACTTTCCAAGGGAAGTTTTTTGTGAAGTGAGTTGTTATTCTCTCCTCCTCACCATCTTAGGCTCTTATAAATTGAACTTGGGAACGGGGAATGGTCAGTGGGTGAGGAAACTCATGGCTCCTTACTGCTTTCAGTTCATTCTTATTTGAGTTGTTCCTTGAAAAGGTATTCTTTACTTCATGAATCTAAAATAAAATTAGATAGGTACAATGAGAGGAGGTAGAAACAGGATTACCATCCATTTGGAGCACCTTATGTTTAATTTAGGATGTGACTCATAAATAACTGTATCTGACAAAGGTAATATTTTAAATCTTCATGCATATATAGGAATTAAAAGGTAAATATTTCATCAAATTTGTGATGATATGTATATATTTTAAAAGCCCATCAGTTGTCTTTTAAAATAATTAAAATATCCTATGTTTATCCTGAAGGTAAGAATATTTTTTAACTGTAAGTTCCATCATGTTTTATAATGCATTTTGTAGTGCTTTGGACCCAGTATAGAAGATAGCATTTCCTTGCTGCAGCTTTTGAAGTTATATAAAGGAGCTTTGCATTGGGCCAGTCTGTCTTGGACAAAATACCTTTACTGAATAATATTTAGTGAAATTTTTGGATATGAAGATAGTGTAAAAAGGACTTTAGGAATACGCAATACAAATTAAAAGGAAGAAACTTTAAATGTATGTAGTGATAAAATACAGTATAATGAATTATTTTTCATAAAATAATATTAATGTATTTCTGTTTATTCCCACCAAGGATTTTGTGACTACAGTTATTCGTTTATTTGAAAGTCCATCGGCTTTCATTCGAGCAAAAGCCTTTCTGGTCCTGTTGCAAGTTTTAATTAATAACAGGGAGATGTTGCTACTCAGTTGTCAAGCAAGGTAAGGTGATAATGGAACATATAATTAGATACTATATTTATTTCCAAAGTCATACCTGAAATGCTTTTAAATATGTGGTATTTTTGAGTCAGTATTTTAGAAGTGAACTATTATCTGTATAATATGAATCCCTTTATGAGAATATCAAGAGAAGAGTTCTCTGTTTTGCATTTGGTCACCAGATTACGATTACTCAGAAGAGGAAGCCACCTGTCCTTTAGGAAGAGGCTATCTCTTAAAGTAACTTGTGCTCCCGGTTAGCATTAGCAAGGAGCAGATTTTACTTTGAGTAGAGCAAAATAAATTTAATAGCCTTTATCAACAGTTTAATCAGTTACGTATTTTCTGCATCAAGAGATGGACACTCGTGGAGAGTGAGTGGAGTGTTCCTGACAGGGAGCCTTTCGGAGTCTACAAGAGTCCAAACCGGCAAAGCTGGGCACTTCCAGAACATTAGTGTTGTGCAGTGCAGGGCCACCAGAAAGCTAGCGTAGGTTAAGGCCTGTAACTGCTCTGTTGCAGTGTTCAGTGCAAACTAATAGTTTCTTCTGCTATGATGCTGTTCTGGCATGCGACAGCTTTGCTACTGTGATGTGGCGGTACTGCCTCCAGCTTTGGAAATGGCTTGGGTGTTTTGCCAGGAGCCGCAGTGCATGGCATCAAATATTTTGTGGATCGTATACAAATATCAATTTTCTAGAACTAACAGCTCTAGAAGGAAAGAATCAGATAAATGAAAATAAAGCAATAACTAAAGAAATAACAAGTTCAGAGAAGAGAGAACAAGGAGAAAAACATATGGAAAAAGAACAAAAATGTGATGCTGATTATCAGGTTCAAATCTGGAGTAGAAGAGACAATAATAATTGTTAGGAATGCAATTTGTATGTGATTTGATGTAAGTGGAAGAAAAACCAAGTGAAAACTTCGTATACTGAAGGTGGGGCTAGAAACTGAAGATAATCTTGATATAGCCTGGAAACAAAATGAGTACTTTGCTTTACTTTTAATAAACAGTAGTAATCCTAAAAGTGAAGACAAAACAGCTAGATAGGGAAGAAGAGTTTAAATTCTTTTTTCCCTGTAGCTTTTACTTTGAAGAACTTTATTTTAAGAGTTTTATTTTTAAGCATGAAGGGGAGGGAAATGTTTTAGGCATGTAGTTGACCTCAGTAGTATGGAAGACTCTGGAAAAAATACTGAAGGAAAAATAGAGGGTTAATGAAATAGTCTTTCAGTAGAAATAATGGGAACAAACTGCTCTCTACACGTGCTTTATGTAATATTTGTGTGCTCCACCTACAGATGGTTATACTTGATGACCAAGATTGCCCCTTTAGTTCTGTTTTGCTGTTTTGTGATGTTACAGAGAAAAATCATTGTTGATAGACCATTGTGACCATGTATTAAAAAAAAAAAAAGAGATAGAGAATAAAAATAATTTAAGATTTAGACAAAGGCAGAACAGTGTGTGTTCCAAGTCTGCTTATAGGTCACAATCCACTGTTTAGTGTCAATTTCATCGAATTTTTCCTGTAGCTTTCTAGACAGAAGTCCTGCCTCTATGTTCCAGTTGACTTCCTGAAAAATATTTTAAAAATCAGTCATGGTGACTGAGAGAGAAATTTGAGCGACTGAGAGAGTTGATAATAAGAGAATTTTCAAAAAGAAATTAATGTGGAGTCCATGGTGGTTATTCAGTCATGGCTATGCTCTTTATTTTGTTGCTTTTGCTAATAATGTTAGTGATACCATTATCAATTAAAAAAGAAAAACAAAAAACAAAAAACCCCGAAGAACCTTATTCTCTATTCATTGATTCTCTCCTGTCTTCATTGATTAACTGTCATGCATTTTTTTTTCTGATAATGCCTGCATAGGGCTAGTAGTTTACAGCCATTAAAAAATGTGTACTTCCTACCCTAAGGAGCTTAGAAGCAGCATTGTTCTGTGCCTGCCAGAAGATGAAGAAGGTGGTGGAACATTGTTTGTTGTAAGTTTCTTAGAGGAAGAAAGAATCATGAATGTATTCATAGACAAAAAGCTTTTTTTAATTTTATTATTAAGTACTGTTTTTGTGGTCAAAATGGGAACCACAGCATGCTTGGTCATCTTGCTGTCTTGCCCAGTGAAAAGCCTCTCTATACTAGGCAAAAAAGCAAAATAAATTGCAATTTTCAAGTTTTAGGTGTTTCTGATTTAAACAGTAGCTTCAAGTAGCAACATAAGAAAACTATTTTAAAATTAGCTGACTAGAATAGGTTCACTCTGTCCCTGTAAGACATTATTCTTCTTCAGAATGCTTATAGATTGCAATACAGAAGGTGAAGAGCATAGTTACAACTTGTACTGACCACAGTTCAAGACTAATGAGGTGTAGTGTAAACAGTTAATCTTGACAGTTAATGCATATGGGTCTAGATAGAGGTATAGTTTAAAGCCATTGCTTTGCTAATCAGAACCTATGATGGTCCAAAGATGCTGTTCTGCTTTGAACAGCATGGTTCTTTTAACATCAGAGCATGTTATACATGCCAAAGTAATTGCTGTATTAGTTTTTCTTGAAACTCATTGATGAATAAAAAGGAGGATCTGAACAGTCCTCATTTAAATACAGTAATACGTGTCTGATAAGTAAAATTCTAGTACATGTTAAGGTAAAATACTGGATTTTTTTTACTGAAAGTAATTTATCTAAGAAATTACAATAAAGCTATTAACAATTGCTGATAGATGTGGGGTTCTTTTTACATGTTCAAATTCAGTCAACAATAGGAGAGAACGTGCAGTTTAATGTACAAAAGAGAAGGTTAAGCTGAAATTCACCTATACAAGGTAGGCCACTATAAACTTTTGTAATACTAGGTTGAAAGTAGCAACATGGATACAGACATCTGAATTTTAGGGCAACTTATTTCCACTATATACATTTCATAAAAGCATAACTTTTGAGCAAAAACTTTCTCATTCTGCCTTATTTTTTAATGTTCAGATCTTGTATATGCCAGTACCTAAACTTTCTGCACACTTAAAATAGGGCCCTCTAAGAGAATTCATTACCTGAAGATCTATTATAATTTCATGTCTAGCATGGCCTACTGGCCTTCTGTGTCTCAGACTGACCCAAAAACCTAGTTCTTTTTGACCGAGAAGAAGAATAGAAGAGTTTGGTGCACATTCAAATGGGAAAACATGGAAATGGAAAGCTGGAGGGAACAATGTCTCACGTAAGTCAGTGATTTAGGGGGAACCTCTCCCAGCAAATTGTATCAAAAAAAAAAAAACCTAAGACTATCAACACCTATCTCCTCTTCTGTCTTTTAACTAGCATGATCTACTGCCTATTGTTGCAGCTCTATAAAATAAATATATCTACATTAAACATCCTTTAAATATCTTCATCCTTTTTTGCTAGTCTTTGACTAAAAACAGGTCCTTGAATTATTGGGGCAAACTGACCATACAGGTGCTCAGAGCATGCAAGACATCTGTTCGTTTACTGGAGTTCTGTCAGTCTCTGTGAACTTAGTGAACAGAAGAACCTCCTGTAGGAGAGGAGACTACCAGTGAGAGAACTCCTGCTTTAGGTTCAGTCATCTGGCAGCACGTTATCTTAGGGACGTGCATTTCTTTCCTCTACTCTGATGCTGGTAAAGTTGTAGCTAAACCTTAGTGATACCTAGAGCTGATTTTTAAGGATGTAAATTAAGAACTGACATTGTCATGTCTCTGTTCAGTATTCTGAACTTTGACTAGATCTTTTCTTTCTTCCTACTACTGATCATACTTTGTAAGTGAGCAGTTCTTAATCTTTTTAAGTATTGGGCATCATTCCCATTACTCATGGCTGTTAACTCTGAAATTCTTCCCCTCTTCCACTCTTCCAGCTTTTCTCAGTGCTTCTTTCTGGTATCTTCTGGTCTTTTCTTCATGACAGAAAGGCTTACTAGCTAGGTTGCCACCTACCTTGTCTTAGTGTACCTCACCTTGAATGTTGCTGTGCCCCACTGATGAGGTGCAAGTCATTTATTGGGAAATGAAGTTTAAGACCCCTTGTCATTGTTGTTATTGCAAATGATCCACGTTGTTATTGAAGTGGCATACTTAAAACTAGATACAGTAATGCAACTAAGGTTTTATCAGTGGTGAGTGGAGTGAAAGGATTCATTCACATGTCTTATAGATGGCATTTCTGCATGTATTGCCTAGTATGTTGTTTCTGTTTTTTGTGATGTGATGTCATTGTTGACTTATGCTCACTTTGATCCTTTGATGGGGCTGGTCTAAGTGTAGAGGGAGTAGAGAGCTGCTTTTAGGAATGCGCAAAGTGGCAAAAATCAACTCGAGAGATGAGCTTTGACTGTTCTAGTTGTTCCTGAAATTGCTGCTGTAGCTGTGTGTTTGCCAGAAGTTACTTCCCTTGTAGTAGGGCTGCCAAACATAAATGTACCCTTTCAACGTAGTTCACAGTATGGCATCTTAGCAGTAACCTAGTATCTTCCATGCATTTGCTATTGGAGCTACTGTGGTCACCTAGGGACTGGAGAAACTTGCATCTTCAGTGAGTGAAGTGAGAGGGAGTTTCCGTCAAATGTCCTGAGAGAGAATTTGAATACAATAATGTCTCAATTCCCCAAAGCTAAATCTGCAGGTCTTAGTTGTCACTGCACTCTGTTATCCTTTAGATTCTGTTATCCTTACATTATACAATTGCTATTCCTGTTACTAAGATAACAGTTTTTTGTGTGTAGGTGATGAGGAATCTAGTATTCACTCTACCCTGTATACTGCAAATCTCCTTCCCAGCTAGTCATTCCTCACGGTGAACCTTAATTTTTGTCAGATTGATTATATACTCTTATTTCACTGAAACCATTTTTTCTTTCTCTCCCTATGGTCACCTTTTCTCTCTACATCTTTCTAGCATCCATATTTTCTACCATTCCGGTTTCATTTTGTTTCAGAACTGTCTTCTAGGTTCTAGATCTGCAGTGTGACAAAAGCTCTCCAAGTATACAACCATCTATATGCTAATAAGGATGAATAATTTTATATGTTGAACTTGGTGGTTTCTTTTCCCCTAAAAATAGTTCTTCTTGCCAGCAAATCGTTTTCCCTACTCTATTGCCAGCGTGGGTAATTATTCAAAGCATGGTGATGGCATTAAGATATTTCACTTTTAAGATTGTCTGATCAGATTCATTGTAATAAAATCAAGAAGGGGCACAATCATTAAGTTGTATTTCAGGTGTCTGGTATTTTTCTATTATCCTTTTTATCTAAAAGTCTCTATATCTAGCAGAATAAAATGTTATTCTTGCAACAAATTGTACAAAATTTTTGTTTGCACAAAAGCTTTATTTCCTTGATATTAAAAAAATAAGTAGCAAAGGTTGTCTTGGATAATTCTCATCCCTTGTTTTTAATTCCTGGGAGCGTGTGTCAGCAGAGTCATGGCTTTAATTTTACCCTTCGTACGAAGGCAGAGATCTGATATGCACATCCTAATAGAAATACAGTTGAACTGCAAATTCAAAATTTTATTGAATGACCAGAGTACAGTGTCAGAGTTTCTTAATAATATACTATGCAATCATATATTTCTACAAAACGTATGTTACACTAGTACTCAGATGTTATTTTTAGTTCTTGATTTTTAAGACTATATCTATTTAATTACTGAGCTGCACTTTTCTGAACACACTGAAGACATGCTGTTTGAGTACATTTTCAGTTTCCCATATAATGGCCAGGCTTTTCAAGGAAGTAAAGATAATTTTGTAACAGTATAAGAAATTTAATATTTTAATTTTTATATTCAGCATTTAGTTCATATGGTATTTTCGTAGCCTAAGTTCAGCTCAGTACAGAGCTGTTCTTTTTGTGAGCTGTGTATTGTTCCAAGACTGTTGAAACAAAAACGGAGCTGTTAGGAAAAGCTTTGGAAAGAAACTGATAGTGGCTGATAGGGTTTTGCTCATAAATTGGACAGCAAATATTATTTCTAATATTATTTCATTGTGTTTAATTTACTTTTAATACCACCTACGTATTTTTGTTTATGTGTTATTGAGTGTGAGACACACATGTATATTATGAGTTGAATAAAAGTAGTACTTCTGTAAGCCCAGTGTTGCCGATTAGACAGAAGAGTGTGATTCTTGAGGCAATAAAGCAACTGATGAATAGTTCTACAAATAACTGAGTGGTTTGTCCAGGACAGCAGAGACACTGCCACTGTCCTGACTATATATAATTTTATATAATTTTCTTATGACTATGTTTAGTTGAACAGTGCTATCAAGGAAAAGTACTCGTGCATACTTTTAGAAAACCTTTATAAGAAGGGAAGGACAACACAGAGAAAGAACTCAGGAGTTTACTTAAACTTTGTATCTTTCCTCTCTCAGAAGTAGTAAACACACTTTGGATGTTTCTTAAACGTGATTACCTGATAGAACATGCCTTTAAAAGAATAAAAAAAACCCTTTCCCCAGCAGTAAAGTTAGTCGTATTGAAGGCTATTCAGCCTATTTTAGGTAAAATATGATAAAATCTAAGCGTATTTCCCTGTAAAATGAGGTGTTTGTTAAATGGCAGGACTATTCTCTTAAAGAAAAAAAAGAGTACTAACTCTGATCTTTTGTTGTATTCATAGCTAAACAGTTTTAGAGGTAAAAATTACATGGTTGTCTGGAAAGGCTAGAGGGCTTTATATAATTTTAATTTCAGTTGTTCCATTTTATATATTAAAAAAGGCTCTTAAAGCTTTTAAGAGTAAGATTGTATTTAAAGGGTAGGGTCAGATTTTCGATAGTCTTCATCTATCACACATACCAAAATTAATTGTAATTGAATACAGTTTCCAGAGATAAGAAAAACAGATGATGTCCAGATAGCCTCTGGGAAATGCAGCTGAATGTGGAAAGTAGTTACTGAATAGGCCGTTTGGTTTATCTTTAGTCTTGTCTCTGAAGCGCAGTTCGGAAAGGAGCCAGTGAGTTGTAGTACTCAATAATATTCACACATTGTTTAGAGGTCTAATCCTGCAAAATATGTTCCTGTGTAATTCTTATTTAAGTTTATCAACTTTATGATGGAAATACACATCTGCTAGGATTAAAGTTTCTGTTTGAGTCCTGCAGTTCCGTTCCATACACTTAACAGAGTTTGTCAGTTCTTTTCACACTTGTAGAAAAGAGTGTTGATTTTAAGGATGTGTGAAAAAGGAATAGTACTGAAGTATGTTCTTAAAATCCGGAGCACGGATTTCAATCACCAGTGACTGATAGTTCTGTGTACCGCACACCCAGGGAGTTTGAATCTGAAACTAAGATGTCAATATTAGGCCCCTAAAGGCCCTTCTGTCTATTCAAAAGAGCATTTTTAAACATTGCCTGAAGCATTCTGTTATAGGTGTATTTTTAAAGCAATCTCTTGCAAGTGCACCAATGACTAATAAATCAGTTACTATAGCTTACTGTGAAAAGTGCCTTTATGCAGAATAGTATAGCTATACAGCGTGTATTGGTTAGAATGTAAGCAGAGAGTTTGTCTTCAGAAATCTTGAACATCTAATTACCAGAGAAAGGATATAAGGTTAGTTAGACTTTTGATCTCTTTCAGTATTGCCATTCTTACTTGTGCTAACAATAATAGGTTGTAATATGATTTTTTTTTTTTTTGTCCTGGATTGAAAGTTTGATTGCCTGTTACTTTAAGCTATACTTGCTTTTGGAATTCTTACATGTTGGAAAAGGTTGTCTTTAATCTTTGCTTATATTATGCATGTTGGTCATAAGTTTCAAAATGAAGTGGATTTTAAAATTAATCTCTCCCTATCTAAGTCTGAGGAGGGATTCACTTCATATGTTAGCATCATAACTTCATTTAAACTAACAAGGATTTTTTGCCTGTTGTTCCGTGTCATGGTAGTTTGTGCTGTTTTAAAAATAGGTTTATTCAAAAGGGAAAATCCAAAGTTTCAGCAAAATTACTGAACAAACATCTATATGTCATCTTGATTGTAACCACAGATAATGGAAATGCCTGCTCTAGTAATATTTTTGAGATGTAGTATCATTTTTGTTGTTACGAGAGGTAATGTTTTTGCACTTGCTTAAATGTAGACTCGTGATGTATATTGAAAGAGACAGCAGAAAGGCCACACCAGGAAAAGAGCAGCAAAGCGGCAATGAATACCTGTCAAAATGCCTGGATCTTCTCATCTGTCACATTGTACAGGAACTGCCAGGAATTCTAGGTAAATTGAGTTGGTTACTGAACAAATCTTACCTTTTCTTACTCCCTTGAGAAATACTTAAATAGCTTCCTGCATATAAAAGTGGGAAGATGGTATTTTCTGATTGCATAGTTTGTGTGACATCAGCTTCACTGAGCTTTCTAGTTATGTCATGATCAGGTTCTTTGTGTTGGAATCTGGAATGCATGATTCCCTATATTGTTGTTTAGTATTTGTTGGATGGTAAGCCTCAACAACTCAGTCAGGATTGAGACTCAGTTGTACAAGATACTTTCTCAGTGTTCCAAAGATGGAAAAAGCTTAAGAGCAAACTTGCCTTATAAAGCACAGAGCAGAGAGAGATGCAATAGGACACATCTGTGAGTACGTAGTTATTGCTTGGACTGAAACTTATATGTTGAGTATCTGCTTCAGGCAGTTTTTATGAAAAATTTCAACCTACATATTTCAAGTTTTATAGATATCTGAAATTGACTACCACATGCTTAAGGAAAAATGGCAAGATTTTCTCTGAGAGAGCATGAGTGCTTCTTCGCCCCACCCTTCATATTTAGGAATAAGGACTTAAATTTTCAGCAAAATAGCCTTTCTGCCAAAGATAATGTATTTGGCCAGTTTTGTGAAAATCTGCACAAATTTTACTAGTATTTGAGCCTTTGAAAAGATGAAAGCTACTTGGAAATTTGTTCATGTTCAAATAGAAGTTTGCTTGGGCTTAGCAGCTAAATTTCTGTTGTAGTTGAATATGCTGAGACCTCTCATGTTTGGATGAGATACTGGGAAAGAGAGAACTGGTGAGAGGAACAATGAAAGGCATGTGTGCAAATATGACAAAATTCGCATGTTACAGGGGATAATTTGTACTGATTGGGCAACTAGTGAAGAAACTGGAGTAGAAGGAAATTAGTTTGAGAATTTGGAGAATCAGTGAAGAGAAGACGATGAAGCAGGATGAGAGTTTTGGCCATTTAAACGAAAAAAATAGAATCTTGGAAAATTAATGAGGGCCTATTGGCAAGATGTGAACATGCTGTTGATGCAGAATAACAGGGATGTCACAAAAATGACCTGAGGAAAGGAGGAAAGGGAGAGGGAGGAGGGAGTTAGTGAGGGGGGATAGGGGAAAGGAAGGGAGGGGTAGGAAGGAAGGAGGAGGGAGGGGAATAAAGGGGGTAGGAATGAAGAGGGAGGGAGAGAAGAAAGGGGGAAGGGAGGGGAAGGGAAGAAGAATTGAGGGAAAAGAGAAGAAGGGTTAGAAGGAAGAGAAGAAGGGGGAGCAGATAGAGAAGGGGGTGGGAGGAGGGAGGAAGGAGGGAAGGAAAGAAAGAAGGAGTGGGAGGGAAGGAAAGAGGGAGGAAGGCGAGAATATGAGCTTGATGTGGTCATTCTGAATCGTCAGCCTCAAAATGGTTATTAAAACTCCACAGTTTTAACAGAGAAAAAGCAGAGTGGGAAAGGTAAATGGGAAGATAAAGGAGGAAATACTGAGAGTCTTCAAGAAGAGAAAGGGAATAAGACCCTGATATGTATGATTTGTCATTAAATTATTAAATTATTTTCATAACGTTATTTTCTTAAGAGATAATATCTGAAATGTTTCTCACTGGATATAGATTATTGCTAGAATATTGAAAAAGAAATGGTAGTACTGCAAAGATCAGTAGACCTAAATGTTATGCTGGCATTTAGAAGAAACTGTACTTATTATGACACTGCAAATTTTGCCTTGCTGCAAATATATGGTTCTTTATTTCTAACTAAATATCAAGTCCACATATTGGGCATGTTTCAGGATGTGGATGCTTCAAACTATAAAAGCTTTGAGGCAGAAGTTAGCCTCTTACTCTGTCTATATACTGTATGCATCTAGCATAGTGGGCAATGATAGATTCCTCAGGGTCTGAAAGTGCTCTAAGTCAAACATATAGTTATTATCGTTACAAAAAATAATGCATCAATTTCTTTAACAATTCATCAAAAATGCAAAACAATGCATCAATTTCTTTTCTTTTTTCTTCTTTTTTTTTTTTTACTACATACACAGCTTTAATGGCATTGTTCAGATAACTGATACAGCAAATCTAAATTTTACGTATTATTTTCCTTTCCAAGCTAGATATATATTTTGCTTGTTTCTATTAAGATTAACTCGATCTGCCTGTATTTGTCAGAAGGCTCTTTCTTTTTATTGCTGTGAGTATAATGAAGCAACACATTCTTCTTGAGGGGGTAAAAGTTATGGCCTCCTAAGAAAAATGACCAGATTTACAAACTGGAGCGCTTAAAAGCAGTTTCACTGTTGATTTAGAAATTATTCCTAGCTAGCTTTTAATATGTATTTGTTTAAGCATCTTACTGATCCCATCTTCTTCCACCAGATGTAGCTATAAACTAAATAGATTAACCAATTGAAAATAGAAATTGGCCTTAAAGATGTGTTTCAACAAATGGAAGTAAATTGATAATCTGGTGAATAGCTTTAAAAGTTTTCAATTATCTTTAGGTAAGTGATTTTTACTTCTGTATTTTTTCAGAAGTAACCTATTTAGTTCACCATTTATATTTATTTCATAAAAATAGACTTAGATCTTACTAAAAACTGAAGTAACCATGTCTGTTTATCAATTGGAAAATTGGCAAAAGTGATGATTATATAGAGCTTAAAATATAGAAAGAGGGTAGACGGTTCAGTTGTTTTGAGTGTTTGTTGTTAACCACTAACAGATATTGGTAAATTGCGGTGTTATTAGTAATTCAGCAGAGGAATGTGTTGAAAGGACAATGTTTTATCTCATGTATTTGAAAAATTTTAAGTAGCACCTTCTTCTTCTTGAGCAGTTTGTTGTATAACGAGTCAAATCTTTAAGCCTAGGTACTTTTACAGTCTAATTTAGTGCTGGGCTCTGTCATTTCTGCTTATGTGAAAATTGAACTGCATGGGAGCAGAAGGCATTTTTGTTGAAGGCTTTTGCCTTCAACATGAATAAGCTCTGTAACATTGTAAGGAAGGGTCTATTCTGGCATAAAATTGCATAAAATACTGAATTGAATCCTTTATTGGTTTAATGTCTATATGATTTGCTTTTTACGATTTTGTGGAGCCCTCTTTTTAGAGAAGGTATTTAGTGAGTGCTCTTTAAAGGATAAGATTTGGCTTTTGATATTGTCAGGCTATAAGAATTGAATTTTCTTTCTTTGCATGTGAGTTACAATTTGTATCCTGCTTTTTCCATTTTAATCCCATGCAGAAGGTGTCTTGTTTTCTGAGACAATGATTAATGTAACACAAACTCAGCATAGTCTTCCTTGATTTTTTTTTTTGCCTTTTATAGTCTGAAGTACCGTTTTGACTATTGTAATGAGAATTTTGTTCCCTCCTCATTGTGTCTGAGGTTTGTTTCAGAGGTAACTTAAGTTCTCTCATTGACCTGCTGCTGCCTTTCTTTGTTCCATGAGAACATGTTGGTTTAGGTAACTTTTGTCATTCTTAGAATTGTGTGTGCGTGTATGCACATGCGTGTGTGTGTGTGTGGCTGGTGAGGGGTCCACTGTGCTGTAAGAGGTAGTTTCATAGTTTCATCTTTCCTTCTACACCTGCTGCATGTTTCTGCCCTCACCCTTTTACTAGAGGTAGCATTTGTGCATCTATCCCTGTAGCTGGAGCAGGAAATGGACTTGGTTGAAAACTAAACTAGAGAAGTGTTGGATCAGTTCCCTGTTATATATG